TCTCTCTCTCTCTCTCTCTCTCTCTCTCTCTCTCTCTCTCTGTGTGTGTGTGTGTGTGTGTGTGTGTGTGTGTGTGTGTGTGTCCAAGTTGATCAACGTTTTCTCTTATTATAGAAACACTCTCTCTTTCTCTCCCTCTCTCTGTGCATGACAATCGTGATGATGAGAACTACAATCCCACTGTCTGCCACATCAGCATGCCTTCAAAAGAACGATGCACACGGCATGCTGACATCGCAATCCGGTCGGGACACGTGCCGCTCTCTCTCTCTATCCCTTGGTCGATTCTTATTGAAGTTCTCTCTCTCTCTCTCTCTCTCTCTCTCTCTCTCTCTCTCTCTCTCTCTCTCTCTCTCTCTCTCTCTGCATGACAGTCATGATGATGAGAATGACGATCCCGCTGTCTGCCACATCAGCATGCCTTCAAAAAAGCCAACCAGACGGCATGCTGATGTGGCAATCAGGTCGGGACACGCGATCGGCATTCTTTCTCAATTTCTTTGTTGATTCTCACTGAAGCTCTCTCTCTCTCTCTCTCTCTCTCTCTCTCTCTCTCTCTCTCTCTCTGTGTGTTCTTTTGAAAAAAAACTTCGAGCCTGTCAGCATGGATGTGGATGTGATGAATGGAGAGATGCGGAGAGAGAGAGAGAGAGAGAGAGAGAGAGAGAGAGAGAGAGAGAGAGGGTTGGAACTGAGGCAAAATATTTGACCGTGCAATGTTTTTTTTTGCTTTTTCATGATGATAACGAATTTATTTTCTTTCCCCCGCCGTTGTGGTGGGAAGGCCATGCTGACGTGCGGAAAAAGATGCCGCATCGGCATGCCCTCGCACTCTCCTGTGTACGTGCGGCATCGACACACAACATGGTTCCAAGGATTCTGGCGACAACTGTGGACACATTCCTGTACTTCGCAGTTCCCAGGATACATCCGTCCTTCCCTTTCTGCTGCTCCCTGTACATTGTCTTCTCCAACCAGTCATGAAATTTTCGCTCTTTACTCAAACATTTGCCACGGACAATCATGCATTTTGTTTTACAAACAATCAGCGACATGGTTCCTGTCTGTCCTCTTTTTCTCTCTTCACATCCTGTATGTTGTCTTCTGTGGCCGCAGCGACATGGTTCCTGTCTGTGCTCTTTTTCTCTCTTCACATCCTGTATGTTGTCTTCTGTGGCCGCTCATGCATATCTCTGTTCCCTGTCTATGGCGCCCTTGATGCTTTTTCGCGCAATGATTGCCGCAGCGTAGCTGCGGCGGGTCCACTTGTAATAATAATAATAACAATGAGTTGATGAACCAGAATCAATATCCGAAGTTCCCTCTTACTGCTGACATCACAATAGTGCAATGAACCCAGTCTATTAGATACTCAGAAGTCGTCAATCTACCGTAGTTTCAATATCTGCACGAAAGTTTCCAGATCGTGAAGTGACATCTCAAACAGTAACTCGTTATCAAAAAGAGACGAGAGTGGAGGGAGAATAGACAAAGGAGAGGAAAAGAGATCACACAGTAATAAACCCTTCAGATCCCTCTCCTTCTCCGGGCTTCTTTCCACACCACATCATCAATGATAATAAGTATATTCTTGATCACACTCAATAGTGCCACGTGGCACTTTATCTCATGAAGACTCGAAAGACACAGCAGATTTCCAGTGACGAAGTCAACCGCAAGTGAGTACCCGATTCCCTACATCCACAGATCCTGATCTTCCTCCTCCTCGCAACCAGTCACCTCATGTAGACAGCATGGACAATGCCACATCAGCAGCAATCGAAACAGGGGGCATTCACCACATCATCAATGTAGACCAGTAGCAGTGCCACGTAAACCAGAGGCAGCGCCACATATATGTTACATGCTGCGCCTGCACACGAGGGCCATTTTCCAGGCCCTGCGTCCCTCAGGCCGAAAGCCTGAAATTCAGGCTGAAAGGCTGAAAACCAGGGCCTACAGGCCCCGTGACCATTCAGCTCGGAAGCCTGAAATACAGGGGCCTACAGACCCTGTGTCGTTTCAGACTAAAAATGGCAGTAGCCTTTTTAGCCTGAAACGAAGGGCCATTCCCGGTCTGTCATCAGACCGGCCTGCCCTAAAACTCGGGCACCGAACCAGGGTTTTAGGAACAGGCTATTTTTGGCCTGTTCCCACGACAGCTGCAGCGCCAGCCCCTGGCT